AAAAAAAAAAAAAAAAAAAAAAAAAGATGGGGCTTCCCCTATCTTGCTTATTGCCCTCAAGTATCAACTTACTTTCAATCAAGTACAAGATTATGAAACAGGTCAACAGTCCTTCGCGACATCCGTTTAAAAAAAGGACCAAAATAAAAATAATAAATAATAAATAAATAAATAAATAAATAAATAAATAAATAAAAGGATGTGAAGAGAAACAATATTTATTTTTTTGAAATTTTCGGCAGCATTTCCCTCCCCCCCACGGGGTCAAGAATGTGCCAAGGGAAAAGGCTGTCTCTTATACACATCTAGATGTGTATAAGAGACAGCTCTCTCTCTCTCTCTCTCTCTCTCTCTCTCTCTCTCTCTCTCTCTCTGTGGCCTTTCTTTCCTTGACGAATCATCGCTTGACAGAAATCGAACCCGTGACCTTCTTTGCCTCGCATTTTGCTGCCTTTGTCCTCCTTTTTTATTCCTTCCAGTTTTCTCGTCTTGTTCTATCACCTCCTTCCCCCTCCCCCGACTCCCTCCCTACCTCCCCCTTCCGCCCCCCTTTTTCTCTCTATTCTCTATCAGATTCTTCTCTCTATTCTCCGTCTCTTCGACTGTAACCCAACCCCCGGTCTCCCTCTCTGTTCTTTTCACTGTCGCTACCTTTCTGCCCTGGCTTCATCCAGTCCCTTCCCATTTTTTTTTCTCGTTTTTTTATTTTCTTTTTGAGCCGTTTCTCTCGATTGTACGTGTGATGATCCTCGATTCCTCAGACGCCATGCTAGTCAGGTAAAAAAAAAAAAAAAAAAAAAAAAGAACAAGGCTCCGTGTATCACATTTTTGTATGATCTATCCATGCTAATCAATTAATAAATCATACGTATTAATTTAATTGTCTCACCTTTATTAAAAAATAAATAAAAAAATAAAAAATTGTCTCTGTATCGCTCCAATTTTAGTGGATGTTTTGAAGGACCTTGTCACTTTCTATTCTACTCTCGATTTTCTTCCTTTTTTTTCCTCTCGCGCGGGAATCGAACCCGTGATCTGTCTTTTTCTCTCATGTCTTCCACTCTCTGTCCTCCCAATCCCCTTACACACTTGTCCAATTTCCTGTCCAATAATTGTCCCTTTATTCTTGATGTCATCCTTTTTTTTTTCCCTTTTTTCTGTCCCGAATTCTCTCTTGTAATTCGCGAACTGTTCTTTTTCACTTTTTTTTGTGTAGAAAGAGAAAAAGAACCATTCTCCCTTGTCCCTTTATTCTTATTTCTTTACGTAAATATATTTAATATTTCTTTACATATTAATTGCTTCTTTCTGTAAGTAAGTAGCTGCATCAGCTTCGAGCCTTCGACACAGCAAGCATCAAGCTTTTCGTTTTTTTTTTTTTTTTTTTTTTTTTTTTTTTTTTTTT